TTTCCATAGGCTCCAATATCACGTTTTTGAGGCCAAATGGGAGGTGGCCACCACCGCCATTTTGACCGTGTCACAGGTTCCGTCAAGCCCAGACAATTCCACAAAAGGGAAGAGAGGAGGAGCTGAGGGTGTGGCTGTAAGGCTGGGATCGACTGACGACACCCGGTCGAACTAGCTACAAGCTAACTTGAAGCTAACCCAAAGCTAACACGGAGGTGGGAGCTAAGATAACCGAGGCAGCAACCTAGCTACAGCCGGAGTTAACTGTGCACAACACCAGAGCTTCTGAGTCAGAGATACGCCGAGCTGACCGCTGGGTAAAACCGGGTGGAACACAGAGGTCTCGGAGACCACCACAAGCCGGCAGCCGCACAGCAGACAAGCGCCGCTGTGATCTGAGATGTGCAGAGCTGCGGCTGGGGAGAACCTGGTGGAAAGGTTTCCATCCCAGAGCTCCACAAGCCAGCAGCCCGCGCGGCACAACAAACAGAAGCCGCGATCAGACAGATGCGCCGAGCTGCGGGGAGAACCAGCCGTCAGCCCGCGCGGCAGACAGAAGCCGCGATCAGACAGAGATGCGCCGAGCTGCGGGGAGGGGAGAACCGGGTGGAAAACATCGGTCTCCCGAGAGCTCCACAAGCCGATAGTCGGAACCCAGCTCCACCAACATGTTATATTTCAACCCATTTTCTAAAGTGCAGCATTATGTTAAATGCACTGGGTTTTACCCTATTACATTTCAATTTCATGGTTAAACAGTACATGTTAAAATCTAAGCTCAGCTCAGCAGTGACCTAAAATACATAAATATCATTTTACTTACAGAAAAAAATGAAGTGGAGACTCCTTGGACGCTCTATTAGTGCAATTAATGCCACAGCAAGTCATTTTGTCCAACAATTGCACAAATAATATCCAAACAAGTATACACAAACACGGAGACTCAAAATCCCGGAACAGTTTCCAAGCCAGGCCGAGGCTCTACTGAGGCCTTTCCACGGAGCTAGCTCTGTGGTCACGTGGGTCTGATGCTCATTAATTATACAGAATTTTAGGCTTTTAATATACTTAACCAGAAGAGTGAGAAAAAAATTCACCCCCTCAGAGTTGTCATGAGTGTAAACTAGATCATTTAAACAAAAAACATGTTTTGGTACCAGGCTGTAAACATGTTTATTTCTGCTGTGAAATTGGTATTTTTAACATGGGAGTCAATGAGGATTTGCTCGCTTCTGACACCAGCCCCCAGCGGATGAGGGTGGAACTGCAATTTTTGGTACTTCCGGGATGGCCTCAATTTTTGAGCTGCATTGTGGGGGTTTGGTTTTTACACATACTTGAAAAGTATTTGACCGTATTACTTTCACAGCTACTGTTAGGTAACTACAGATTTGTTATATTTTACAAGGTAAGCAAAAATAAATGTTGCCTTTTGGTCAAAAGATTGCTTCTATTTACAGTTTTAAAATCACTTTATTTTACATTGTAAATTTGCATTTTTGGAGCATGACCAGTTTAAAGTCAAATAAAAATGTCCCATAGCTTTAACTAACTTGTACAACAAAGTAGTTAATCCTGGAGCTGACACTCTTTGTTAATACCGATTGTGAATCAATTTAAACTGAGAATCAAGAATCGATTCTGAATCGAATCGGCAGCCCAAGAATTGGAATCAAATGAAATCGTGACTTGCTCTAAGATTCACATCCCTACTGAGGACCATTTAGACAATTTTCTTTATGAAGTGAGCACATTTTATTGTTCACTTTTTATTTAGGAACTTACCAGTTGGTTATAGAGCTATGGTGTGAATGAAGTTTTAGTTAAGGTTAGGGTTAGGAATGATTAGCTTTGGTTATGGTTAGGGTTAGAGCAGGGGTGTCAAACTCAAATTCACACGGGGCCGAAATGAAAATCTGGGACGAAGTCGCGGGCCAAACTTATTATTTTTTGAAAAAGTGACAGCAAATTTGCTCATTTTCTTTATCAACATATATGCAATTTTGAACCTTTTAATTTGGAAACAAACTTATTTTTGCATTAACACTGAATGTGGAATAACCAAATTGCACACGAGCAAGTCAGTTTTAAGTAAAACGCATCAGTGGTATTCATTACTTGTGGTATATTCAGCATTTTTTAAATCTATTCAGGATTTATGTTTCTTGTTGTTTATTCATTTTTCTTTTTTTTCCTCCTGTAATAAGTGTCATCGCTGCTGTGACATCTAGCTTTCCCCACTGAGGAACAATAAAGGGATTTTCTATTCTATTCATCTATCTGCAGCATTTCCACTTCCTGTTTACTGTAGGTTAAATCTTTTTTCACGGGCTAACAACAAAATAAAAATATCATTTTATCTTAAATGAAAATGCAACATCTCACCTGTTAACTTTCATGTTTTGGAGCAGAAAAAGAGCATAAAACCAAAATATTTAAAGCTCAGTTTGTTCCACTGGTTTACTGTGATGCTCACCTGTTCCAACCAGATACCTGCATCATGATCTGAGCTGAGGAGGAGACTCCAGTTGTTTTGTTCATCTTCATCATAATAATGACAACATTAGATGTCAACAGGTGCTCACATAGGTTTGAGCTGCTGAACATGGAGAGCGTCTGAGCAGCTTGACCACGTTGTTGTGTGTCGGAGAGGAAAAGTAAAAACTACAGCAGCCACAGAGTCATGCTGATTTGAGCATGTCACTGTTCGCCGGAGTTATATCAGCTCTGTCTGGAAGTTAGTTGGAAAACTTTCTCTTTCAGTCGTGAACACATTACTGAGTGGTTAAAATCTCCGTTTCTGGGCTTCAACGTCGCCAAATAGCCGAGTAAACTCTGCGCTGAGTGAGAGGAGTGTTTAGTTTGTCAAAGACTGGCAGCAGACGCTGGAAAAAACACAAAGGAGGGGGCTCTTTGGCTCTGCGTTAACACCGCAAAGCATCATGGGAGTTGTTGTCTTTGCGGTAAAATCGGCCAGCGGGTCAGTTTTAATATATTTTTTTTTTATATTTATCTCGCAGGCCACATAAGGCCTTGTGCCTGACACATGTGGATTAGAGTATGGGTTAGGCATAGTGGAGTCACAAAAAGGAATGGAAGTCAATGGAGGGTCCTCGCTATGATAGAAAGACAGGTGTGTGTGTGTGTGTGTGTGTGTGTGTGTGTGTGTGTGTGTGTGTGTGTGTAATGCAGGTAAGGCAGTATATTCATAAATGTTTTAATACATTTTAGACAGAAAGAATAAAAGTAGGAAGGACAGATTTAGAATAGAAATATGTGGAAAGAAGATTTAAATGAGCTGGTGGGTTAACTAGAGCTTGGAATTAGGTTGTTCTAAATTTGGGGCCGACTCAAAGTCAGAAAAGTTAAAAGCCTCGGTGGATGATGTTCAAAAGAACCACAGCCAGCCAACACATTGGGGGAGGAAACGAGAGATCCGCAAACAACTCACAGTGCAGCTCTCCCACGGCCCGAGGAGAGCACGACAGCTAACACCAGTGAAAACAAACCCGTCGCCCACGTGGGTGCAGTCAGTGAAAGGTGTTGAGCAGGATTTCTGCTGACACGCTGACGCTAAACTGAAGGCGACAGCCAGAGTTTTGGCAGTGCAAATCATCAATAATACATAAAGCATTACTGCATTTTTTAACTAAAAAGAAAAGGAAGCTGTTGTAAACATCGCAGCTGCTGTGCTCACTTCAGAGATGAAATGAGATGTGTTTTTGATGCTAACCAACCTCCTCATTTCACTGTGGGGCAGCACAGAGATCTAATGTGAGATCAAAAATATAAAGAAAACATCTGTTTTTCATCGTAAACCACACAGAGAAAACATCTGTCCATAGCTTTATGTAAAATACACAATCCTGAAAAAATCTCTAATTAAACACAATATCTAATCAGTCTGGAAACCATTAATCCCAGAAAACAGTGACGATTATGAAGATTATTTTAAAGAAGCATTTCTTTATTAAATTACAGAATGCCAAAAAGGTTCATGGGTTGCTTTTTACTATTTAAACTAAAAGAAAAACACCTGATCCAGCATGTCAACACTAAAAATCAGCATCCGAGTAAAAAACACAATGATGCATATTTTACTACTTTTAGGATTGGTTTTATTTCTGTCTAATAACATATCAACCCTGTGAAGAAGAACACCATTTTCCTCTAGTGAAGACTGGTTTTGAGGTCATTCTGTGTGAATGCTGATCAATCCACTGGCTGAGCTCCACAAATCATGAGAAATCACTCTATAGAAAAAAAAATGCACTAAGGCTTTGAGCAGTTTACTACGGTCCATACAGGATAACATATGTTAATCTGCGTTAATCCCAATATTTGCTCTAAATATCTTTCAGTACAATGCCTCACTAGATACCCAGTGAGAATACTGCCGTGTATTTTGTGACTTTCTCTGAAAATACAGGTTTGAATATAGATTAGATCATGCTAAAACATTTTAAAACGTGCTCCTACAAGAAAAAAACACACCAACGAATATAATTTCAAACTAAAACTTGATGGGTTCCAGCTCGCCTATCCAGGCCTTTAGAGGTAGAATTAGCACTAGATTGTTGTTTTTCACCCTGATTCAGCATTCCCGGTCTTTACTCGGAGCCTCTGAAAGCTCAGTGGCCACAGGGAATGACAGCTCAACCACTATTATGATGACAACCCTCTGTACTGGTCCGCCTTTCTCGCTGCCCTTCTCAACATTAAACAGTTTCAAGTCTTCCTAAACTAAATCTACAAACACAATGCAACCTTTCCTCTTGTTGATGGTGAAAGTTAAGAGCTGACAGGCAGACTCCTAATGTAGAAATGTAGGTGCACAGTTTACAAAGAACCAATACGACCTATCTCTTTATCGCTATAAAGCTTTGCTTTTAGGAATCTAACTGGTACACTCCACTGAAACAGGAGTCAGAAATGAAAATGAGACAGTCCTGCTGATTATCTTGTCACACGCTTTGTAAACAGAATATTAATGGACTGACCTTGAGCTTGTCAAAGCGCTCGGTAAGCGAGGACACCTGGTGCTCCCTGTGGCGGCCCACCAACTTGCAGAGGGCACAGATCAGCTGATCGTCCACCAGGCAGTACATGTTGACCTTCTCATTTTCGTGCTCCAGACAGGTCAGACCGCGGATGTGGGTGTCTGGCACAGGCTCCACCAGACGATGGCTGGTGAAGGGCTTCTTGTTGGGGTGCGTTGCACGCAGGCATCTGTCGCAGTACGACACCTCACATGTGACACACGTCTTGACAGCCTCGCGTGGTGGATCCTGTTCACAGAACTGGCAGCTGATTCGCAGATCCATCTTTGCCACGACAGCTGGGCTGTGGTTAGCGTTGTTGTGGTTGGTGTGATTGGCGTGCGAGTGGGAGTGGCTGGAAGTGGCCGGGCTGCCACGTGCACTTCCTCCACCAGTCCCCCCGCCACCAATCGTTCCAGCTATTGTGCCGCTAATGGTGGCAGTGTACGGCCGCTGCGTCTGCAGGCGCCGACTCTCCGTGGGGGAGTTGGGGCTGCTAATGGAGGCCTTTTGGAAGCGGTCAATGATGTTTTGCAACGTCACATTGCGCTTCAGGCCCTCCAGGCCGCGGTGATTCAGCGTGATGACGTAACGACAGGTGGGACACTGAAAGGCGGAGATGGACTCGAGGGGCTTGCTGGTGGAGCAGTGAGACACCAGGATTCGGTGGGCGCAGTTAAAACAGAGGCTGTGGGCGCAAGGCAAGAGCAAAGGATCTTCAAATAACTCCAGGCAGATCGGGCAAGTCAGCTCTGACTCCAGTGTTTCCATCTTCAGTTAAACCAGTCTAAAGGTGACATCAAATCCCACAGAAGCTGGCCAATTACCTGCATGGAAACAAGAAAAGGCAGACAGTTACAATCAAACCTGCCCCAGCTTGGTCTTCAGCCGTTCCCTGAAATCAGCAGGAACTTTAAACAACGCATCATTTTGCTATTTCTGATTTCTCAGCTGTGAGACGCCGGCTGCAGGTAAATGAGCTGCAGGTTTGGCAGAAACGCCAGACTTAGCTGTTTTTCTGTAACATGTGAGCTTGTTCAGCATGCTGGACAGAGGGACTGGCTCGTTTGTTTAGGCCTTCGCCACGTGATTCTTCTTGCTATGAAAAGAAATGACTGAACCAACAGGGAAGAAAAGGATAAAGGGTGGCTGAATGTTAGGAGAGAAATCGATCATCTGAGCGAAATAGCAGAGAGAAGGAGACAGACATCCAGCAGCAGGAGGGACATAAAATCTTGTAGAGAATAACCTTTGCCTTCTTACAATTTCCTGATTTTTAAACTTACATCTTTTATGGAACATCAGCTTGGCATACTGAGCTATAAACACTTAAACGAAGTGAGATTTAAACTTTCAAAACAGAAATTTTAAGCAGGGCAGTGAATACCAGACCTCAGCTAAACAAGAAAATTGATTCCATGTCCTCGCTCGCTCTCACTCTCCGAGAGCTACAAATCTCAGCGCCTCGTAGCCTGCATACCAAGCTGCCTAGCCATTGAGGTGGCCTTAAAAATCATGTGAAACCACTGAGAATTTGCTTCCTCTATCACTGCACCCTTCTGGTTCCAGGACTTAGGTTAGCAGCTTGTAGGGCCTCGCCATCCTTTCAAAGAAACCAAGCAGAAGCTGCACCAATAAACTGACTAATGATGATCCTCATCTGCCTTCATCAGTTTACTAATCAGCTGCTTTTAGATTTACAAACACAACATCCAGATTAGAATAGGTGATGGGGAAAATATAATAGTTTTTACTTTGAATTCAATTTTCTGCAATATGTTGCATCTAATATTTTCTGCCCAAAAGTGTTGGGAGAATTCAAGGCAGCAGCAACTAGTCTAGCTCAAACTAGCTATATTGTGGTTAGGTCTTATATCTTTTTCTCTAATATTCAGAGATTTCTACAACAGCTCATTTGATCATAACATTCACAAAATAAAAAAAAACTTATGGCTTTGTTTACTTGGAAATAGAGGATAATTTTTTTCCATTTAACATGTCCAAAACTGCTTTATTTTTTCCCAAATTCTATCTGATCTGTAAAAAGGTTTTTGGGTTAGTACCGTCAATGAAACACTGAAAAACTAACTGAGCTTTTTCTTTCAGTTTCAGTTTTTTTGTGTCAGTTGATAAAGCAACACAAAACAAATTTTAACACTAATTGCTTCAGTGGTTCTTGAGCCAGAAACTTGAGCAACTTCACACTGGACAGCATTTTGCTGACCAGAAACCAGACGTCACGGTTGTGTGGTTCTGGTAGGAACCCTAGTGGGAGTCCTCTACCTGCTTTCCATCCTTAAAACGACAAGAAGATTTTTACGTTGGAATCATGGTAGAGCTTGGAATTTAAAATAAGAGAATAATATCTTTAGAGATTAAGCAAAAACCTAAAACCAGCGTTAACATCAGTGCGGCCTACACTTGTTTGAGGGAACTGAAGAAAATCGGAGAGGGTGCTCGCTGCAGAACTACAAAGGCGGAGCTGCACCATAAGGTGGAGCTGCACCAGAGTCAGCCCCGCCCATTCACGCAAACTCAGCCTAGCCCACTGACTTCCGTTTTTGTTTTCAACTTTATCGCAAACTAACTTGACCCACATGAATTACGGCTGTTTCTATTTTTCAGTCGTTAATGCTATGTTTTATGCTCCAATTAAACAAGATAAATATAACTTGCTACATGACAAAGTCTGAATTTATCCCGAAATAAAAAGGTTTCTCTTAGCGAATATCTGTCCACAACCGCTCTAACAAAACTCCTCTATAACAGCATGTACTTCCCTTACCATGTGGGTTCTGGTAGTCTAGTGGTAAGATCGTATGATGTAACTTTTGCTTTCCCCTCAGCTGATGCTGGTTCGATTCTCGGTGGGGTCGGCAACAATCTATTTAGCCAGCTGAAACATTTAATTTGTTCATATTTTAGTTCTAATGTTCATTTTCAGCAAAATATTTATGTCTCTAAAAGTTCTTTGAATTTGGTCGTTCCTAAACAGCATTTTAGTTGAAACTCTGCTCACAGATGGACTCACACTGGCTAAATAAACGAAAGAATAAATAAAAAAACACATTAGTCATTATATGTTAAACGGCATACCAATAAATTGTTGTAAACATAGTACTGGCAAGTGTAGCTAGAAATGAGGAAAAAATATTATAGAACATTTCCTCTGCTGGGAGGCGAACCTGCGCAAAACTACGTGTCAACCTGACACCATCACCACTATACCACCACATCTGGTAAAAAGTAGATGGCGTTACATTTTATTATACTATTCGGTGTGTCTTTGTAGATGGGATGTATGATTTTTCTCACGGTGTCTAGGTAGAAGTCATTTCAGAAATAATTTGTCAGAAAATTCACAGAATATCCAGATTTGAGAACCAAGACCAGACCTGCTTCGGGGGAGGAGACCAAATTGAAGCTGAGATGGGAAGAAAATGCATGAATGAGGCCAAAAATGGCTTTGGCGTGTTTCTTATGAGGAAATGACAATATAACATGATTAAAAGTTCCAAAAGTTAGATTTTTAATTATATGGAACTTTTACAAAAACTGTTCAATTCACTTCTCAACTCCGTCCTCAATCTTGCATTTTTTAGCTATAACACCCTCTTTGGTTCCAGAATGCTATCAAGTCTGACAACTGGAAGGAATTGGACTGACTCTGATAGAATGGGCGGGGCTGATTCTGGAATGGGCGGGGCTGACTCTGGTGCAGCTCCACCTTCTGGTGCAGCTCCGCCTTTGTGGTTCTGCAGCGAGCACCACTAGGAAAATCGCAGACTGATGGTGACCTGGCTTTGTTGACTTGCAAGTAATAAAGGTTTGTCAGTTTTATTATTTTTTTTACTTCTTAGTTTAATTAGTGACAGTTCGCTTGTGATAGGGTTTGTTTGTTGTTGCACTAGCTACAGCTGGCTGCAGCAGGGTTGTTTACAACAGTTGTAATTCCACTTCCAACCAGTAGGAGGAAGAAGTGTGAAATATAAGTGTTGCTTTAAAAGAAGAAGGTCTACACATAGACATCATACATGTGGTCACCCCCTGGACTTGCACTGCCTATTGGAGCTGGCGTAGCAGCAGTCCGCCATCTTGGATGGGCCCCCATTTGCAGTGCATTTTTTTTCTACTAAGGAAGGAGTTTACCCAACTTAAGGAAACACATTTTATTATGCTTTTTGACAAAGTCAGATATATAGTATGGCATGATAATTCAAATATAAATATAATTGAACAAAATAAATTAAAATATAAAATCCCAATAGGTAGGCTAGAAAAGTCTACAGTAATCCCATAATCTCTTTTCAATAGTGGACAACCATAGGCTGCACAAAAAACGGGCACAGTTGCCCACTCAGCGGTGAGTTGGGTGACAATGTTATGCTCTCCAGCACCCAATAGGGAGTCTACGTATTCATGTCTATGGGCCTACGAATAAATAATGTTCAGCAAGTAGCTCAGGAGGTTGAGTGGGTTTCCCAGTTATCTGAAGGCTGCAGGTTCCATCACGGCTCCGGCTCCTTGGGCAAGACACTCAACCCACCTAGCTTGCTGAAAAGGACGTTGACAGTTTGAGTTCCTCCTGACCAGGAAGTGATAGTAAATCTTGTTTTCAAGTGTTCACATCCTTTAGTGGGCAGAACTCGTTTGGCAGAACAACAGTAAGAATTTCCAACCAACAGCTGAAAGTAGGCCTGCATAAAGACACAACCAGAGCTCAAAGGCTGAGATTCATTTGCACTAAGTGAAGTCTCCTCCTGCCACATACAAGAACCAACCCCTCGACACGGAGCTGTGTTCAAAGCGAACATGATTTGTGCACCACTTACAGAGCTCAGGAAAGCAACTCATCTGAGGAGAGCGTGCATGCAATTGAGAAGTAACAAAAATTCATTATCTGGAAAAGAAAAGAAAAAACTGCACTGCAAATCATGCAGATGGTTCACAGATAAAAAGCAACAAGGCTTGTGCCAGAGTGTAAATATATGTGTAAGGATGTGAGTTTAGGGAGGGTGTATATATTATTTTCATTAAGCGCAGCACCATGTGCACAATAACCTCCACCAATATTCACCTTGGCCAGCATTTATCAGATGCTTTGAGTGATTGTTATCAAACAGCCCGGCTCCATTTGGCATAAAGAAAAGAAGGGTTCAGCAGTGTGCTACCCTGAGCCAGCCAGTATGGTTCTGCTTCATTACACCAACAGTAGGGCTAATTTATCTGCCTTTGGTTATCAGATAACTGGCAACCAGAGGTAGATAAACTGAAATATCTAAACATAGTATGCAGAGGACAGTGATGCAGACAAGTAAAGACAGCTTTAACTAAAATCAGTCACCTACATCACAGTTTGTTAACCCTAGCGCAAATGAGACATTATTGATCAGAAATAGACCTTTATTTGTTATTATTTTTTCAGCCATTTTTAGTTTTTGCCTGTGTCCCAGACTGTCACTTTCACTGATTTTTACCACTTTCTACAAGAGAGAGACGAGACGAGACGAGACGAGTTTCTAAAAGATTAATGGAAGTTTGGTTCTCAAATCCCCGTGTTTATTGGTAAATTCCTGTTTGTGGTTTTCATGGACAGAATATTGAGGAATTGTCATGGAGAGTAGGTTGTTTAGTTTAGGGAAGCGCAGGGTCTCATCTTCTCTTTTGCTAACACATGGCCTTCCATATTCACTGGGGTGGTATGCAGTTGTGTGTAAAATGATTGTGTTTGGAGTCGACTCCTCAGTCAGAGGACATGTTTCTAGCTTTGCAGTTGGAAGTAAGTCTTTGCCTCAAGCTGATGAGTTTAACTCTTGTGATGTCTGGA